TGAGCACAGGGCCACATAGGTAAGGGAATTTTTCAGTATTATTTGTAATAGTGAAAACTGTGTAAACAATTAACTGTCTCTCAGCATAGGAATAGCTAAATGCTCTATCCATACAATGGACTATTACAGTGTGTGTGTGTGTGTGTGTGTGTGTGTACAAATGCACTCAATTGTGTCCAACTCTTTGCAATCCCATGGGCTGTAGCCTGCCAGGCTCCTCCATCCATGGACTTCTCCAGGCGAGAATACTGGAGTGGGTTACCATTTCCTTTTCCAGGGAATTTTCCCCACAAAAGGAATTGAACCCATGTCTCTTGTGTCTCTTGCATTAGCAGGTGGGTTCTTTACCAGTTGAGCCACCAGGGAAGCCCATATTATAGCATAGTTAAACTAAATAAAAAAAGGATAAAATAGCAAAAAATAATAATTCCAGGAAGAGGTATGCTACAAAATGGTATATGAAGAGTAACATCAATACTTCATATATTTTAAAAAGTATTCAAAGCAATAAGCTATCTTATCTGGGAATACACAATCCATAGGGCCTGTTCACAGCACGTATGAATTTCATTCAATCCAAAGGTTCCCTCTGCAGCAAGAGGGAGGGCAAGCAGATGATACAGGGATTTTAACTTTATTTCTAATATTTTATTACTTTTTGTTTTTCCTAGGATCAGAAGCATGATGATAAAATGTTTACAAGTGTTGATGTTTACAAGTATCTTGGTGGTAGCAGGTATGTAAATGTCTGGTATATCCTTACCTGTACTGGTTGGGTTTAAAATATTTCCTGATTAAAATGAACATTGTGAAGTGTGTTCAGCAGAGTCATACAAATATAAAGAAAACTGAAAGTAACTGGAAAAAAGATGAAATATGGTGATAATGTTGTTGTCATACAATTTTGTGCTTTCCATATGTACATTATAATAGTTGTAATTGACATCAATATCAGCTAACGACCAGCAGGAACAAACCTGTAGTGGACAATACTAGATTTCTTATTTGCTGCAGCAAGGGAGATCACACAGCATGGAAACTGTGGGCAACAGCATGGGGCAGATGCCAAGTAGATGTGGTTTACAGGGTACAAGGGCTGGAGGCAGTCACAGGATTGTCTTGACAGGGATTGACCAGATCCTGAAAATGAGGACATTGTCAGAAGATTCAGTAATCTTATTTGAGAACATCTGTTTCTATACAAAGTTCCAATTAGATTGGTTTGTGTGCAGACTTAACTTTGGCAATTAAGGGACCTTTTAGAGAAGAGTCATTGATTACTGGGTGGTTGATGATAAAATGAATTCAGCTCCATTTCCATGAGTAAGATCTTTGAGAACAGGAACACTTAATTGTGTCTAGTTTCTTTAATGTGGAATATGGGGTCATGCTGAATGGCTTCTAATAAATTGAGTCATATTAAGTCTTATACCTGAATGACTGTACTATTATGCAACTTGCCAAGTTGGGTTTTTTTTTTTAATAGTGATTAGTCACCCCAACTTTTGCTCAGAGCTCTAGATCTGATTTTCCTTTTTGAAGAAAATAGTAGTTGAGTGGGAAAGGGTGCTAAATTTCTTCTCACTTCATCTTTCTTATGAAAAGGGATAGATGAATATGTGGTGGTCATATGACCTTATGATAGACATAGCATTTGAGACAAAATAAATAGCTTTGTCGTATCTGGACTGAAAACAGAAATCTACAGTGACAGGAACAGAACACAACCAGAGTCTCATGTGTTACAGAAGTTGAGTTTCTTAGCCAAACCGGTGCCTAAGAATATATGTAATTATGACTACAAACTTCTATCACTAGTCCTTTCTCCTTTCCACTTTTAGCTCTGCCACTCTTAAAAATTATCTATTGGAGATACCCAGCTCTGGGGTAACTTTGTTTTCTTTTATTTATTATTTATTTGTTTGTTTGTTTTATTTAGTTATTTTATGGCATCAGAATAGGGCTTTAGAGAGATTGTACCTCATCAGATCATTTTAGGAACATTTTTTTTTTTAACTCAACTTCTTTGACATCTCTCTTGTGCAGAATAATTGCTCCCAGCATACCACAAGTTGTTTTTCAAGAGAATCAGTGTCATCAATGGAGGGCAGTGAAGAATCTGAATGTTTGAAGGGAACATGGTTGCTGTGAGGAGGAATACACTGATAGAGGAAGCAGAGTACACGTACTTTGTGGTCTGGATTTCAGAGGTCATCTGCAAAGCTTCCAACCAATGCCACTGAATTCTCTTGGACAAATTCCATTATGTCATAAATCTCTGGGGACTGAATATTGATAATTAGGAATACTTCCTAACCCAGTACGTACTAAGGCCAGATTGGGGCATCTCAGTTTCAGGAATAAGACACTGAATGCTTCCTCTTACTGTTTCTGGCAAAGCCTCCTCTTCTGAGCTTGTGGTCTGTAAGGAATTACCACAACCTCCCACCCAGCCTTCAAGAGCAAGCCGTGATGGCCTTTGGCCAATCAGGATATAAAACTCCCCATGATTGGTTCAGAGATGATCACATGGCCTGAGCCTGTCCAATCAGGTTCAACAACACTCAAGAGCAAGGCGTTATGTTGTTAGGGAAGCAAATTCCTCCCCTGCTTCCCTGGTGGAACCTGGCAGTAGGAAGAGGGAGCTGCTGGCACTCTTTTGAGATGATGAAGGGAAAGTCAGTACTGAAAGAGTACCTCTGAGAATCGTAGGGAGGAAAATAGGTCCCCCTCAGGCGTTTGAGCCTCTGGGTCAGTTATTCCCTGAAGCCAGCCATGCCTTTGGGTCTTTGAGTTGTAATAATCGGTTGATTTCCTTTGTGTTTTAGTTCTAAGGTATCTAAGATAGTTCTAAGATATGAGTGTGGCTCAGTGAGTCCTGCATCGTGAACATAACACTTCAGATTAGAGCTCCTCGCTGCTATGGCTGTGACAGAATCACCAGGAAAGTAGTTCTTGACTCGGTATCAGGAATACTGAGCTTGCATCTCATTTAGACCAAAATTGTTGGCTCTCTGAGACTCTACTCCTCATGTGTGCCAGGAATGGTCACTCTTGGTCTGTTTAACACATGAATTGCTGTGAAGTCAGGTGAGAGACTGTCGTCTTGGAGCCCCTAGTTGGGCAAGGAGGATGCTTGCACTTCCACTTCTTAGAGCAGAAACATGGCTGTCACCACAATGACTGCAGACCCCCTGTGAAGTGCCTATGTGTGGTGTGGACAGGTCATGAACAAGGTTTGTTACAAATAACTTTACGGGACTTGTTAGAAGTCATACACCCTTGCTGAATGGAGGATATCATCTGTCCAAATTGTAACAGAGTAGATGCTCTTGCCTAGTAAACCTTGCCGCATGGACTCCAAAAGGCCCTGGGTTGGTTATTGCCTGAAGACAGCCCAAACTTTGCTGGGGGTGCAGAGTGACATGTCACTATTTACCCCAACACTCATCTCCTGGGATAAGCTGGACACTGCCCAGGGCACCTGGGAACCAAGCAGGTACAAAGCCACAAGGTACTGGGTCCATGAAAAGGTGAAAGCCTCTGGAAGGGAAATATGCTTTGTCTGTGGGAATCCCTGGGGCAGAAGACCCTGCTCTCATATCCTATCCATAGAGTGTGCATTTAAACTTACTATACAAAGGAGTCTTGGAGAGTTTGAGGCAGAAGCTTTGACCTTGTTACTCTGAGTATAACAGGGAAGAGAGCTGGCCTGACAGACCTTGATCAAGAACTCAAGGGAGTGACTCCATAGACACTAGGGTATGACTCCTTTTGCATGAATGTCCCTCAAAGTTTTGCCCTTTCATCCACATCTCCAGGAAAAATCTCCAGGAAAAAAAATTATTTTCTATATTTAAAAAGGAGTTAAAAGACCTGAAAAGGCCAGCAGTCAGTGGGAAGCACAACTTCTATTAGAAACTCATGTGCTCCTCCACCGTGCAGGCCAGGGTGGTGCTGCCTGGTATCAGGTTAACTGCCTCACTAGAGGCCCAGCCTGCCTCTGGAGTGCTCACTGGCAAATGCCTTTGTAGAAGCTCCCCAGGATCTTCTGCCTCCAAGAGACTGGGGCTTGTACTGCAGGAGAAGCCCCTGACATTTATCCCTCTTCTAGACTTGCAGGCACTGTGACTATCCTCCATACCTGCTCCAATATACACAGCTCTGCAAGATGCTTTTCCTGCCTCACCACCCTTAGCTGCGTTATGTTATCCATGTCTTTTCAGTATTCTGAAGCTTTGACAGCTGGGTCTTTCCTGATCCTGGAGGGACTGCCCCTCCCAGAGTTATACAATACTAAAGAAAGTAAACAAGCATGTTCCATGTTCTTCCAGGATCATGCTTTTTAGATGCAACTGATCAATCCAGATCCCAAATCCAACCCACCCACCTCCTCTATCAGGCTTTCATACTGCAGTGCACTAACCATCCACCCTAATCACCCCAGGATCTGGTACCAGACAGCCAGAGACAGCCCCTGTACCCCAGAGCCCACTGAAATTATTCAAACTAGGCAAACTGCATATTCCCTCCCATGAAAGTCACAATAAAGTCTCTCTGGTCCATACTTACCCCCTCTTCATCTACCTCTGACTGACCCTGATTCTTCCCCACGTGGCCCTGTAGGGTACAGCATGTCCCTTCCTCTTGGGAACTGTGAGTAACAAATTCTCTTTTCAGTGGGAGTCATATCTTGATCTGTTGGCCTCACTCTATCTTCGATTTTCTATTAGTATACATTATTTTGAAACATGGGTGCAGTGATCATGATCCTCACACAGATGTCAGATTTTAGCCTTATTTCCTGGGAGGGGCTCAGGGTTATATACCTTGTTTCACAAACATCAACTCATTGTTTGAAGCTTTAAGTGGCAGAATTTCTCAATTGAGTGGGAGGCCATCTTTGTTGTTGTTCTTTCCATGTCTCCACAGCCCAGTGTTGGATTGTGATTGAGGAGGGGATTGCTGGATTGTGATACCCATCAGCCCAGAGTTTGGATATGGAGTTGTTTATTTTTCTTGGAAGAACAGGAGGAGAGGAGGCAAGTCTTGCATCAGTGTGTTTGTCCCTGGAGAGCCATTATTGTAACTCTAGCCTCATGAGGAGGCCATCTTGTGGGATGGGACAGCTGCCCTCAGTGTCCCATGGATGGACCACTTCAGACATGGAGGCAAGGCAGGCAGCCTTGCCTAAACAGGGGGCTCATCAGTATGGATGCTCCTGCCCTCAAGAACACAACCCTCTGGCCCTACACAACTCAAAACTAACTGCCACTCAATCCCTGTGGCATGGGGCTTTGGCTTGACTTGCCCCAGTTTTGAAAGACAAGATTTAAAAGGATAAAGTTCAAATATGAGTCAGCGGGTCCTGTCAACTTCATATCTGCACATTATTTAAGTCAACAAAAGTCATGAACTTGTATGAACTGCCAGGAACAGAACTCAAATGACATTCCCCCTCCTCAATCACATTTATTTTTTTTTGTTATCAGAGCCACTACATTTTGCATTTTTATTACTCGGGCTTCAAAGAACACCAAAATTCATATGCAGCAAACTTCCAAACTATGTTTGAGAAGTTGTTGACTTGGGAGTGACACCCAAAATCAACAAATCAAATGGAGAAAAACTGGCCCAGATTTGCTTGCTTGCTGCTGTGTTATGGACTCAGAGAGATAGGGTGAATTTTATGGATCTTGGAAAATAGTCTTGTGTCATTTTAATTAACTAGAGCATGATGGGTGAAACACAGGCATGAGATGGGGGATATTTCCACTTCTGGCTTCCCTGGAAACTCTGCTAGGACTGCCACAGGCAGCTCTATGGGGAAAGTGGGTCCTCACAGTCCGTCTATACAACCTCTTTGTAAAAGGTTCAGAGAATTAACAATGATCTCTAATTAAAACTCAATCGGAAACTACAATGACATACCATAGCCTATTCTTTTCATGCTTTCAGAAAAGGAATTTAGTTACGAAGGCATTTGAGGGCAGCTTAAAACCTTTGAAACTTTGGGGTTCCCTGATAGCTCACTTGGTAAAGAATTACCCTGCAATGTAGGAGTCCCTGGTTCGATTCCCAGGTCAGGGAGATCTGCTGGAGAAGGGACAGGCTATGCACTCCTGTATTCTTGGACTTCCCTTGTGGCTCAGCTGGCAAAGAATCCGCCCATAGTGTGGGATACCTGGGTTCAATCCCTGGGTTCGGAAGATACCTTGGAGAGGGGAATTGTTACCCACTCCAGTGTTCTGGCCTGGAGAATTCCATGTGTAGTCCGTGGGGTCACAAAGACTCGGACATGACTGAGTGACTTTCACTTTCACTAGAAAATTTACATGTAATGTCTCTGCTATGCATGCCTCTCCCCACATGGTCTCCTGGCAAAGATGAGGAGAGGAGAGTTTGCTCTCAGATCCCTCCTGCAGGCTTTGTGGATTCAGTCTCCTTAGTCTCTCAGCCAGATTCCCCAACTGTTTCTTGTGGAGAAATGGTCGATTGTCTATGCGGCATCCAGTGTTTCTTTCTGCCTTAGCAAGAATCTAATTTTTTACTGGGTGTTAGTTTCCAGAGTACAAAATGAGACTTCTAATACTGTACTGAGGATGCAGGCCGTGTCCGATGATGAGGAGACCCTGAGGCTGGAGTCCAGGTCCCAAGATGGGGGAACTCAGAGTCAGTTCTCAGTATGACAGAGGATAAAGTCAGCCAGAAACTGGGACTCTGAGACATCATGGCATCCTTGTACCACAACTGGATGCCTTTCTTAAGAGTTTCAAGTTATTTGGGTGAAATTAAGCCCATAGTAAATAAGTCAAACCCAAACTTTATATAAACCAGTAACCTCATGGGCACTTCCCAATCTGCCCACCCACATACATACAAAGACACTGGTTCCTGGATAAAACCTGTGCTTCAGGCTTTTGTTCACTTAACATTTTCTTCCCCTTATTATGAAAAGTGCCCTTTTGCTTGTGTGACAACTTATTCTTAAGAAAGAACTGTTTTCAATAGCAAAGTTCTTCTTGATATCTCCTAAACCAGACAAGCTTTTGTATCCACCACTGTCTTCACTTTCGTCCTCTGTTCCTATGGATGTCACTTCTCACAGTGTCTCCCTGACAATACTGGACACATCTTTCAAGAATCAGCATGGATGCACACTCTTCTGGAAATCTCCCTGACCTGCCCAGGCAGCATCTGGGGCTACTTTTACTTGCTTTCAGAATGTCTCCAGCAAAGTGTGATGCTGGGATAATTGACTGTTACCTGGTTCCCTTATGTGTGCTCAGAAAGGTCAGGAATGGTGCCCATCCAACCAGCTTCTCCTCAGTTCCTGGCTCTCTAACAAATGTTTGTTGAATGAATGAGTGATTGTAGAATGCACTTCAAATTTAGCTGTATGGATGACTGAGTCAGTTTGCTGTACATCTGAAACTAACACAACATTGCAAATCAGTTATACTTCATTAAAACTTTTAAAAAATTTAGCTACATGGATTTGTTGAGACATTACAGGGTATTTGAGAAGGAAGCCTGCCCTGGCCCAATGCCTCCGTCCCTTTGGGTTGGGACCAGTGAAAATGGCAACACTATCTTCAGTTGAATATATGAGTTACAAGATTGAGATTAGCAGTCAACTCACAGAACCATGAGAAATAGTATTGTTGTCTCAAGCCTCTAAATTCCAGCATGGTTTGTTACAGAGGGCAGATACTTGATACAAGAATTGCTGTTAAGATTTAGTCTCTAAGTCATGGCAGTTCCCTGAGACCCCCTGTATGCAGCCTCCCAGGCTTCTCTCTTCATGGGATTTCCCAGGCAAGAATATTGGAGTGAGTTGCCATTTCCTTCTCCAGGGGATCTTCCCGACCCAGGGATTGGACATGTGTCTCTTGCATTGCCGGCAGATTCTTTACCACTGAGCCACCCAGGATTTCCCCTTGATACAAAAGTCTTTCTCCCTAATTCCTTATCCCCTATTTATGAGGCAACCTGAGCACTTCCCAGCATTTTTATAGAATGCGGAGACCAAAGACCTGAAGGAGACATCAGCATTGGCCTTGGAACAGTATCTGCAGAATGATTCCAGGCTACAGGCTCAGTCTTCCTCTGGAGGCAGGTAGAAAGACCAGCTTTTATGGCCTTAGTCTCCTCTCTGCCCATGAGCAGCCTGAGTTGGCACAGTGTATTTTCCAAGTGAACTTTGAGATTCTGATGCTCAAAACTTTGAGTTTCCTTACTTACTGGAAAGTGGGGTTTCCAGTAAGGTATATCTTGCTGGAGCATCTCTGTAACCTGGACTGGGAGGCCCTCCCTTTTTATCAGAGAGACTACTCTTGTATGGGTTTCTTATATTAGGCTTTTGTATACGATGTTAGGGTTGCCCAAGTGGCGCTAGTAGTAAAGAACCCACCTGCCAACGTAGAAGACATAGGAGATGCTGGTCGATTCCTGGATCAGGAAGGTTCCCCTGCAGGAGGGCATGGCAACCCACTCCAGCATTCTTGCCTGAAGAATCCCACAGACAGAGGAGCCTGGCAGGCTACAGTCCATAGGGTTGTAAAGAGTTGGACATGACTGAAGTGACTTGGCATGCATGCACATACAATGTTATCTGAAGAAAGCATTCAATTGATTTACATGTGAGAATCACTGAACCAGATATTTTTCAGGGCCTGTGGGGAACCTAGTCTTGAGTAAGCAGGAAATCTGTGGCTCCAGGAGGAGCCTGCTTCTCATTTGGAGTCTTGCCGCAAACTTCCTGGAGAGGCTCCTGTCCAAAGCTCCTTCGGTTTCACATGATGCTGGACAATGTGCAGGCGTGAGATGGGTCCTCAGCATGAAGAGTGGCCTGGAGGCTTTGTGCAGGGCCACCTTTATAATGATTCACTTGGACATCGTCATTTGTGTGTCCCCAGGGCAGGATTTACATTTCATTCTCTGTTCCCATGGATGTCACTTTTCACAGTGTCTCTCCAACAACACCAGGCACATCTTTCAAGATTCAGCATGGACATACTCTCTTCTGAAAAGCTTCCTGACCTGCCCAGGAGGCATCTGGGGCTACTTTTCTGGGCTTTCAAAGTGCCTCCAGCAAAGCATGATGCCAGGATAATTGGCTGTTTGTTACCTGTTTCTCTCATGTAAGCCAATTCCCTGTGTGCAGACTGGGATTCATCCTGCCGGGAACAGAATGTCATTTCTGAGCTGATGCAGTGACCACACTCTGTCTGAAAGAGGAAGCCTGTGGGAAGGGGCAGCCCAGAGACTTCATTTTCAAGGTGATAAACCTGCACATCCATCAGAGAGGGAGGGTTTGGAGTGTGTCTCTGCTGCAGAAGAAAATTGTGTGTGTGTGTGTGTGTGGGTGGGTGGGTGTTTAAACAGCTATTTCAAAGGGCTCTGTATTTCTAATAAGGGGGGGTTAATCTGGTCTGCTTCTCACCCGGCCTCTAAGTGTGCAGGTGTCCCACAGACACACTCACTCCACAGGGGGCTGGGAAAACCTGATGAAAGTTTGACAGTGGGGCCCAGACAGACCTTTCCCAGGTGTCCAGGACCCGCCGACCTCCTTCCCACACGGCCCACCTTCCACACAGGCCTCCTGGTCCCAGGTGGATGGAGGAGGAAGGTTAGTGCCACTGCCAGCTTCCTCTCTCCCTCGGCCTCCTTCTTCCTTGGCTGTCTCAGAAAAGGGTACTTGGGAGGGTGAGCAGCTTTAGCAGAGGTCTGAGGACCCAGGGAGACAGAGGCAACCCATGCTCTGCCTGATGCGTAATAAAGAGGGCTAAATGCTGAAGAATTGATGTTTTCAAATTGTGATACTGGAGAAGACACTTGAGAGTCCCTTGGGCAGCAAGGAGTCAAAACTAAAGGAGATCAACCCTGAATATTCATTGAAGGACTGATGCTGAGGCTGAAGCTCCAACACCTTGGTCAACTGATGTGAAGAGCCAACTCATTGGAAAAGACTGTGATGCTGGGAAAGATTGAGAGCAGGAGAAGGGGGTGACAGAGGATGATTTGGCTGGATAGCATCACCATCTCAATGGACATGAAATTAAGCAAACTCTGGGGGATGGTGGAGAACACGGAAGCCTGGCACACCACAGTCCATGGGGTCACAAGAGTTGGACACCACTTACAGACTAAACAACAACAATATGCAATGCTGAATGGAATTGAAACCACAGCCTTGGGAGATGGAGGCTAATTATCTTCAGGCTATACACAAGAAAAGTGCACCTGAAAAATACACTAAACCTAAAGAGTTTAATGAAGCAACCCAGACCACGTGGCTGCACTG